TGACATCTGACATGGCCTGTGAGGTTGCTCCTGTACTATCAGAGTGACTTTTGTGCAAAGCCTACAGCCAGCTGCATCATCACAGTCTGCTGACTGAGACCATTTAGGAGTGGTTTAACATTGAGATAAGCTCTCTGGAGTAACAGACTTAAGCGGGAAATGCCACATCTCTGGGTTTACTAAGTGAAGGACTGGTGAAAAGAGCATGTTTGGGGTGCATAGTCAGCACTCACCTCCCTCACCTACAGCCCCTTTATGGAGGGCAGGTAAAGATCAGACACCTATATTGGTTCACCCTCTCCTTTCCACCCACCGTAACCAAGGTCCCAGCCCAACTCTACTGATTCCTTCTCTCAAAAATGTAAAAGGCATGGGCAGTGGTCACCAGGGGAGCTAAAGCATCACATAGAAGCAAACATAGACTAAAACTCACTGTGAGTCAAAGTCACTGGCAAGTAAGGGCCGCCGGTGGAGGGAAGAGGCCAGCCCGCAGAGGAAAGCAGAAGCACAGGGAGATGCAAAGCCAGGTCACAAGGTGGGACAGAGAGGGAACAGTCCCCCAGGGGAATAACCCACAACCCTGAGAAAGGTCGACAGACTCCCAGTCTTGGGTCCTTGCTTTCTCATTCCCACGTCAATGAGGCCCGGCTCATCTTCACTTCCTACCTGAGGCTGCTACACTCTCCTTTATAGTCTCACGACAACTTGCCCCTTATCACTCTGGCGGCTGATGTCTTACACCCGCAGAATCTACAAAGGAGGGGAACCTCCCCCACCCAGGCTATTCAGCCTCATAGGAGTTTTGCTGAGTCTGTGTCTGCTCCTTCCTTCTCTCTTCCTCCCTGGCTGTCCCCCAGGAGGCAGTCCTGTGGACAAAGCCATCAGAACTGCCACCTCGGCTGCCCGGCCTGGAAAGCCAAGCACCCTTCCTTTCCACAATGGAACCTTCCCAAACCAGCCTCACCTGGGTCCTCTCACTGGAAAAACCTCCTCTACTTCACATCTTATCTTCTCCCAATGTTCTGAGATACTCACACTTCCACAACTCCCTTGGCATAGAAGTACTAGGTTTCATCCAACTTATTAAAAAAGAAAAATTGGTTTGAGTGTTTAATAAATGCAAAATTCCTTAATAGAAGTTAGCAAAACCAGAGATGAATCAGCAAGGGTGTCACCTTTCAGAGAGTGGACCATCCTGGGGACCAGGATTGGGTGCTGGTAGGACACCGGGGCACAGGAGCGAGGCCTTCCATCTGGGGGAGCCTCAGAAGCCCTTAACCTGATTGGAAGGGGTGCGGTGGGAGCTGGAGAGGGGGGCTCTGGGAGCTTCCAGGCAGGGTTCGGGCATAGGGAGCACCTGGTGGTTCCACACACTTGGCATCCTGGAAATGGGAGAAGACACAGGACTCGGGCTCGGAGGAGAACCTGGGGGGCCCATTCAGAGCTGGGGGCTGATGTCACAGGCAAAGGGGGCCAGGGAAGGGGCTGAGAGGCCCCTCCGTGCTTTAAATGCTCATACAGCTTTGACACACATCGTGCAACACCCCATGGTCGCCCTGTCCTCACTAATTCAGATACGTGTGTCCAAGTAAGAAGTGACTCTTGGTCCTATTTCCACCACCTGCATACAAGAGCTTCTTGGAAAGCCAGAGGGTCACTCCCCTCCACACACAGCACAACTGTTGCTCTCTTCCCATCTTGGGAGCTCAGTATCACCTGATCTGGGAAGAGTGCAAGCTCAAAGCACAGCCTCTTTCACAAGTTGGGAGACGTGCATACTGCATGTTCGAAAATCGAGTCAAGGTTCCATATTTGAGGGGTCTGTTTCTCTGAATTTTGCTGCATATAACCGGCCCTAATGTAAGAAACTCTGTTGGAAGCTGATGTTAATTATTGAAAGAAAGAAAGAAGTGCTATCACTCTCACCAGACAATCCTGACATTCAAGGCCTGCCCCGATGCCAGACAGTACTGCTCTTAACAACACACACAGAGCACCGGCATTGTGTGCACGCATCTAATCGAGGCACGACAGGATGCTTTTCTTCTGCGGCTCCTCAGACAGGAAAGGGACGCAGCTGTGCTCTGACAGCCACTGCATATCCACACAGGCCACAGGACAAGGAAGTGAGAGAGGACAGTCCCCCTCAGGGCAACTGTGAAAGGAGCTCGGAGAAGCCAATGTCCATTCCAATGAGGACAGGTCTTGGGGAGAGCTGGCCCCACCTGACACTCTGCAGCACAGCACCCACGAGCCTCCCTGGTGGCCCAGAGCCTGAGGCCTGAGCCAGGTTTCCCTCCGCTGTGGCACCAAGTGAGTGGCTCTTACAGAGTCACCACTGAACTCTGGGCTTTGAGTCCTTTGGCTATATAATAATGACACTGCTCACATGCCATCCTACCAGAATAGAGCAAACCAGTCTTCTTTTTGGCCCCTGGGGCCTTCTAAACCACCTTGACCACCATCTTCTCCTGGAAGCCCATGGGACCTTGAGGACTGGCCCATGGTGTGGGGCAAACCTCAACCCACCTGAGAAATGCAGTAAGAGGAGGCCCTCGTGCTGCTTCCTGGCCTGACCGCTGGGAGCTGGGGCCCCGCTGCCCCTCCAGACCTGGGGATCAGCCCCGCAGAGTCACCGTGTGGGACAGGCAGGCAGCAGGACTGCAGCTGCTCCAGTCGAGAGGCTGAAGGCTAGGATTTGGCAGAGTACCACCGATTCATCCAGATTCAGAACTCACATAAGCCAAAGTATTGTTGGGTTTTCTTTTTCTTCAGTTTCCAGGCTTTAACTACTAGCACCTATTTACTTCCTCTCAAGGCACTTATTTTTTCCCTGAGAATGCTCCTGCCTACCTGTTTGCTTTTCTGTTTTCAGTTCTCTCTAAGTGACTGAAGAAAGAAAACATCTTTTCAGTTCAACCCAGGAAGCCCTGCAGCTGCTCTCTGAGGCTCTGGGCACTGGCACAGAGTTCTGCGGACATGTATGCATACTCTCCTTTTACCCTACAAGGCAACCTTCTATCCGAAGGTTAGAAGCCAACCTCAGAAATGGGGGAAAATGGCCAGATCAGCTGAGAACTGTGTCATCTGTATAAAGACATGCCCGTGCTACCCAAAGCCACTTATCTGAGCACTTTGCTCATGACAGAAAAAAAGACTGACTACAGACCCTAGTATGCCTCCCTACGTAGGAGGGAGGCTGAGCTGTGAGTGCTTGCGGTCCTCAAAAACCTGTTAGCACAAAGGCCTAGAAAGTCCTGAACAAGTTGTAGATGAGGCTGGGAGCCACACAGCCCACCCCGCCCCCAGAATTCTGGACGGGATTTTACTGCCCCCTACTCTGATCTCTGATCCAGCCCTCTGGGACTGAGGGAGACCCACACTGCCTACGAGGCCCATCTGCAGGGACTCCACTGCCACAAATGGAGCCTCCTGCTTTTTAACAGCTGTTACAGTGGTGGGAGAAAGAAGCGAATCCACAGCACGTATGAAACACTGTGTATCCAACACCACAACAAGCTCTATAGCCAAGGGAGGAAGGAGTGGACCAGGTACAGCCTCAGTGCCCTGAAATCCAAGGTGGAAGGTACAGATACACTCAGCACCAAGCTAGAAGCTACGGAAGGCAGGAAGAGAGTCGGGCACAAGCTTGTGTAGTGGTAATTAAGGCTGCTCTAACTCTCTGCCAACTCCTCTGGAAGCGGCCTCTCCCAAAATCCAAGGTGGGCATGGCATGTTTTTCAGGAAACGTGGCTGAAAAGGGACTTATGCCCAAGACAGTCATGGGCACAAGTATGAGTCTGCAGGGCAAGGTTTAAGCCCTTTCCCATTTTGGGTTTCCTCCTGAGCCCACAGAAGTGGTAACCCTTGCCTCTGGCCGAAGAAATGGTGCTGACATGGCAGCAGACGCCTGCCCTGACCACACTGGGCATCAGAAGACCAACCACCTTGGCTTTTACTCATAACCAAGGTGGCAAATGCTCTAAATTTTAAGAATAAAATCCCTCCTGTCTTCACCTGAAAGCCATCAGCCAGCAAGGAAGATCCTTTCCGCAAAAAGGGGACCTTCAACCCTGGAAGGCTGGCTCATTCCCTTTAGACAGGAATTCACTTCCCTTCTTGTTTGCTTGGTTTTTTTGTTTGTTTCCCTAGAAGATGGGCCTCTGCTTCCATTTGTGTGTTGGTCCATTTCTTGTCAGTTATGCACGATTACATAACATGAGCTTACACCGACCGGCAGGGCTCTCCTCCCCCAGGCTGAGCCTGGTCCCAACGCAGCATCAAAGACAAACACACTTTTATGAAGTGATGACACGGGCTTCCTCTAGGTTGGATAGGGGTTGCAGGGGCTCCCCTCCCATGCTGGCTCTGTGGCAAGCTGCCCAAATTCCCTTTTTTAACCCCTCTCCTCCCCCAGCCAACCTGCCCTCTTTTTTGTTGTAAGAAAACACCCACCGATACAGCTGTATTCAGATGGGACACCCACATTGGGGCCAGCGTGTGCAAGGGAAAGATGGGTCAGAAGCCAATAGAATCATATGAATATACAAGAAGAAAGGTTTTCTTCTTCACAAATGGAGGGGGAGATACACCTCTTTCGACTCTCTAATGTACACAAGATCGAAACCCATTAATAAAGCCTAATGGACTCGGAATGTGTGCCTGATGGAAACTAGCTTTTCCAGAGTTCTGAAATGACGCCTAGTGAAGGCAATACGAGGAGCTTATTATAAGGGGAAATAGAGGGTGGGGATTGAAATGGTGTGTGTTTCACATGATACGAGGCATCTACTTACCACTGTTTACTCAGGGCCTCCTATGGCCAGGCCCCGTGCTCTGTGCTGCGGCGATGCCCCAAACACCCCAGTGGGAAGACGTTCTTGTCTCTCACCCTCTCCCTCCAGGCTCCAGTCAAACACAAGGCACAGAAGGATCTGATTTAGGAACCTGCTGCCAAATCCCCCAAACAAAGGAAGTGGTGGGTTCACACTGAGGCTTACCCCAGCTCCGGAGTTCTAGGAGCACAGGCGCTCTGGGGCTCGCCGTGGGCTCTGGGAGCGCGGTGGCTGGTTTCAGAGGTGCTGGCGTGTCCCTTGCCCAGCGACGGCCTGCTGTGGGGGAGGGCGGCAGGGCCATCGTCGCACCCGTTCAGCAGGCCCTGGGCAGCTCGGGCACGGGCCCTCGCCTGCCGGCGGCCCTCTCGCTCCTCCTCAGGCGGCGCTGGGACGCTTCTCGACAGCTTGTAGCCATGAGAAATCAGGAGGTCTTCGACGCTGTACATAATGCACCGGCTTCATCCAAGCTCAGCCCCTGGGAGCAGCGCGCTGGCAGGACCCGCCCTGAAGGGACAACAGAGAGGGTCTGAGACGAGTCGCCCATTCTCCCCGGACCCAGCTGACGCCTCCCACTCCCTGCGCTCCGGCCAGGCAAGACTTGGGCTATGAACACCGCCTGGTGCCCACGAGGAAGGGGAGAAGAGCGGATCGCTCCACCCGAGGTCGCTCTCCATCACATTCCCCCGCAGAGCAGAGCGGGGCGCGGCAAGGGCGCTGCAGGGCGCGGCGGGCGGGAAGCCGGGGGGCCCCACCCGGGGGGGCCCACCCCCTGCCGCTGCCTCTCGCGGAGGAGTCTGGAACAGTGTGTAAGCAACGAGATGATTAACGGTGTCCACCATTCCCTGGCCCCCGGCATCTGAAAACAATGGGCAGAAGCAGGAGGACAAAATAAATACAGACTCGGAAGCTGCAATTACGACTGGGAGTTTCTAAAAAGAGCAACAACCAGCCACCGGCTCTACCTTGTTACACTTCCCGCTTCCACCTCGTTGCCCTACCTCTGCTCTCAGAGGGCGACGGCGAGCGGGCGCTGTGAGCGCACGGAGCTGACTGGTGATGGGCTCGGGGGTAACCCTCTGCGTGGCCACTACGCCCGGAGGCCAGGGGAGCCTCGGAAGGCAGAGCTGAAGTCTTGGGGCTCGCTGGCCCTGCACACCCCGCCCACCCCCTGCAGCACCCCGCACGCTCTCCCCCTGGGAAATCTCTAAGAATCACATTTCTCCCCCAGAACCCTTGGGGCAGCTCTTCCCTCTCTGGGCTGAAGGTGGCCACACCCCCAATCCCAGATCCCACCAGGGTCCACGGGCTCAACAGCGGCCACTCCCCTGGGGTACATGGTCCGAGGCCACAGCCCTGGCAAAGAACAAAAGGAACCCACTGGAGAGCCCGCGTGTAAAAACAGATGGGGCTGCCACAGTTATTTTTACACAAGAGAATCTTCTTTCCTGTATCTGCGGGTGGTTCGTGGGGACGGGCCGCGGCCTGGGGCCTGGAGGGAGCACACGGAGGCCGGGCCCACTTGGCTGCTGCGCGGAAACAGCCTGTGGCAGCCCCGCCAACAATGGCCAGGAAATGCCTGGCGGTCTGTGTGCAGGTGAAAGGGAGACACATGTGCTTCCTGTCCTGGGATCTAACTGGGCCTGCCGTGCAGTTCTGCTGACTGCAAGTCCTCGCTCTTCACCACATGCTAGAGGACGGGAGGCAAAAGAGTCCCGGTTGCCAGTACAGAGAGCATCAAACTTGGGAAATCGAGAAGTTCCCATCATGTGCCTACACTTTATGGAAGGTTGACAAGCCCTGGGGTTACTGTACTGGTGGGAACGTCTCCGTGGCGATTCTATCATTCCTGACACTCCCGCTACCTGTCTCGCTGGGGGTTGTACCACTAGTGTGCCCCTCGTGTACCACTTGGGTCGTTCTCCTAGGAATGGAAGGGCCAGAGAGGCGATCACTGGTTCTTTGATTCAATTGAGCAAGTCACTGGACTACAGTCTGTGGGGGAAAGTGATCCCATAACAAACACAGGGCTATGGGAACACGGGGGCAAGGCCATGAAACCAGCATCCTCATTTTGTTCAGTGCTGTACCCCCAGCATTTAGCACAGAGTATGCTCTCAGTAAATAACTATTGAATGAATGCAGAAATAAGAGAAAGGGACATGTGATCTAGGTTTTGGAAGACTGATTAGGAGCTCACTAGATAAACTGCATGGGTGTGTGTGTATGAGAGGGAATTGGTATATAGCATAAATCTGGGGTACAGTTACCTCAGAAGTAAAGAAGTGACATGGCCACAAAATCCTAGTAGCCTAGACCAGGGAGGGTCCCCACCGGGACTGGCTCAATGTCACACAGCCAGTTGGCACCACAGCTAACACTGGAATTTAGGTTGCATTACACTCAGTTTCTCTCTCTTACTATGTCAGGCTCTTTAAAAGCAAAGTGTACTACACTCCAAGTGGCCATGCGACACACAGAGGGTGGTAGAAGAAAAGGCCCTCGTAAAGTATGCAATGTGGGTCATATTCCTACTGGGAGAGGAGTTGTCCTAGTTGGTCTACTATGGTCATGTCTGCATGATAATTATACTTAGCAAACCCTCAAGTGGCAATGACAACCCAGGCCAAGTTGTCTTTCAAAAAAAGCCTCAAACTGTAAGAGCCATAACTTGACCTTACAGGTCTGAAGTCAAAGCTGTATTGATTATTGGATATGTCTAACTTGTTCTATCTTCACAGAGGTCAGGAACCTATGGGGGGGGGCAGGAGTACAAAGTACAGCAGCTTCCACACACAGGACCTGGAGCGATGCAGGTGAGCCAAGAGGAGAGAGGATGACACACAAGCCTCACAGCCCCAACGAGTGTTCCCAGCCACCATCCAATCTCCCTGCGGCTGACACTCGACATGCTCTGATCCCAACTCAGAGCCCAGAATTCACCCCTTTCCCACACCTGTGCTAAACATCACCACTCCCCTGAAACCAATCTCTGAACAGTTACATCATTTTTCTGATCCCTATCAGATTCAGCTTAGTTTCTTTAGCGTCCTTATCTACTTAAGGCTTAATGGGCTGCCTCAAGAGGCAGCAAGAGGCCCACCATGAACACATCAGTCAGAGCAGCCACCAGGAGAAGACGCTGACATGCTGAGGAGACAGGCATCCAATGAACTGCTGCACAAAAAAGATGTCCCTTTTAAAGTTGCTTTCTGATCCAGAGATACCAGCATCCTAAATCAACAGCATTTAATTTGATCACCCACTCACCAATTCAAAGCGTTGCTATAAAGACAAACATATAGCAAAATTGGACATAAATGTAAGTTATTTTAACATCAGAATTAACTGGAAAAGGTATGTGTGCAGTTAAAATAGCACAGTAGCAGGTGCAATCCTTTTAATCCCAGCGTTAGTGCTGACACCCAACCCCAGCTATGACCCCTGTAGTAAGTTACTAACTGCACCAAACCTGTTTTCTGATCTGCAAAACAGCAATGTTACTATCTTCCCATCCCACCAGACTGTCTTGCAGATCAAAAAAGAATATGTATAAGTGGAAATCACCACGCAAACATGAGATGATTTATCATGCTACAATGACTCTAGTTTGTCTCTGAAGAATTACTTGCCTTAAGGAAAGACTCCACATTGGCTATTAATTTTCATCATGAAATTCAGACCATTTCCTAATTCCTCTTGTATCATGTAGGATGTAACTTTTGATTTCCAAGGTCATACCTGCTTTATATCACCCACATATATTGTCTTTTGTCCAAGTCACTTAGAACAGGATTATTTTATATCCAGAACATTAAGACACAATTCCTGAGTGCCTAATTCACCAGGCACTGAAACTATAATAAAGAATGAGATCCATTCTTCTCCCTTGAGAGTCTTACTATCTTGTCGTATAGACAGCAAGAAAATAGGCAGAAGGGTCCCTAACCTAGTCTCAAGGGGTCAAGGAAGCTTCTGGAAGATTGCTTCAAAGCTAAACAAACCCTCCCCATCAAGGTAGGTCTACGCTATATGATTTTCCAGATAGTTCATTGAAGAAATTTTTTCCTTCCCTACTTTTATTTGTTGCCTTGTATCAAAAACCCATAGTGAACATCTAGGAAGAGTGGTCTCAACAGTAGAGGTGTCTAGACACAATCTCAGGTAAGGAGGGGACTTCTAGCATGGGCTGGACCAGAACACAAGACACAAATGAACCCACTTTGAATCTCCTTCTAATTCCATGAATATCTAAACACACATTCATACAGAAGAAACATTTAACAAAGAACAAACAGGTAAAAAGAGAAAGCACACTTTATTTCATCTTATGCTCCCAGGAAACTTCTAAGGTAGCCACGAATGTTTCCATTTTACAGACAAGAAAATTGAGGCTGAGATCTTGGGCCTGTAAGTACAGATCTGAGGTTCAAACCAAGGTCTACCTAGCTTCAAAACCCTTGCCACTTGCTACTCTTTTAGGCTCACCCTAAATTTTCTTCCTTAATAACAATAGAAGTTTCCTAATTTACCAAATAATGCACAAGAATAAACAAGAAAAGATGGAAGGCATAGTGGCATCAAACTGAAAAAGGAATATTTAAAAGGATATCCTACATTTAAAAGGAAAAAAAAATCTCCTTTGTTCTCTTGGATTCGGATGGCTCTTCTACAGAATTCTTTCCTTATGCACACAAGGCACACACACACACACACACACACCATGCGTGCACACATACATACATACACACACAAGACCTGATGCCTCACTTGACTGTGATGTTTTCATGGCAGTGCTAGTATTAATTTTAAATGCTCAGTAATAGGACTCATGTACAAATAGACCGTGTCATTGCTTGGTGACCTTCAGCAGACCTCAGATCATGTTTGGTTTCAGACTCCTACAGAGCTATTGCAAAACCTGTTGTGTGAATCTGAGAAGCAAATTACATCCATGATAAATGGGAAAGGAGTGAGTAGCTTTTAGGGAAAAAAAAACCCTAAATTCTAAAACAGAAATTATCAGCAATAGTCACTCTTATCTACAACACTGACAGAATTTGGACTTCATCTGAGTAGGCAATGGGAAACCACAAAAGTGTTTGGGCAAGCAGGGGAAACACTGCCTGACTATCAATCTGGCTGGAAAATAGAGGATGAGAGTGGTTAGAACAAGGACAGACCAGGGGACAAACAGTTATAAATCTCTTCTATTGTAATGTGCAGGGGTAGTAACAGAGGGGGTGGGGAGAAAGGAATAATAAGAGTAATTTTTGAGAAAGTAATTTTCAACATACAGTGGATTTTAGTCTTTGGTGACTAAGAGAATGGCCAATTCATTTAGGAAAAAGACAGAAATCAGAAACAACTATTGACTGAGGATAACAGGTCATCCCATTTTAATTGAACCAACCTAGTTCCACAAAATTTTATTTTCCCCAAATCAGTGTCAGACAGATTTCCATCAGATTATTTTTCCTGTCCAAGAAACCTGAGACTACTTAAAG